ACATAATGACAATTAATATCTATATTTATTCTTATATATCTCTTATATATATATATATATATATCTCTTATATATATCTTATATATCTCATATAATAGAAAATAGTTTCTACCAATCTGTTAATTTAATGTAACTTATGATGCTTGGTTTGACAAATGTATTTAAAGATTGCAATTTTATACATTTATTCTTGAGGCTATCATATTCTTCTCAATGCCTATAATTCTTTGACAATAAGCGATGTCTTATTTCTTGCTCTGCGCTGCCATTATATGAGATGACTCCTATTAGCCGATATTCCTCATTTTTAATTTGTAAATGTGTAGGTAGATTGTAAATAAATTTAATGAAACTATCTACACCCAGTGTAAAAGTGTACGTTTAAATTGAAGAAATAATTAGTTATTTTAAACCGAAATAAGAGTATCTTGGAGAAAAATAAAAATATATTTGATTTCAAAAAATAACGATCAAATCAAAGAAATTTTTCATTAAGTGCAGAAATAACAATGCACAACTTATTTTGATTCAAAGAAATAGTCTATGAATCGAAGAAACTTTATTTTGAATCTATCTTTAAAATTCGAACCGAATATGTATTTTGAATAAAGTTAACCCCCAACTTTCATTTGTTAATAACTTTTTAACTAAAGGTGTGCAAAGAAAAAATCGACTTGTTTAGGAATGTGCAAACGAAAATCTTTTGATTAAGATTTTTTTAACCAAATTGCTCGAAGTTGGGGAGCTAGTGTGTAGTTGGCCTTCCCAAATTTGTTTTTTGAATAACTTTTAAACTGAAAGTGTGCAAACGAAAATTTAAAATGTGCATACATGTGCAAACGATGAGCAATTGAATGAGTTATAGAAATTTTATTTTTTTTAATGTTGAGGGGTTAATTGTCGATTATTTTGGGATATGATATATGTACTATATGTGTACATACAGGGTGTCTGGAAATAATCGCCAAATATTTCATGAGCAGGTAGAGCGGATTAAACTGAGTCGAAAAGTCCTCTACTAATTTGTAAATTCCCAATAGTTAATGAGATATTAATCCTTAAAGATAGCCGAACGCGCTCTTGCCTGGCCTACTACTGCAAAGTGTATATGCCTCGATCGTTTGGCGCGCGGGCCTTGGGAGTTGGGGATTGGCTGACAAGCACCCCGCGCCGCGCACACCGCCGCAAACCATCATAGCTCGGACAGCGCGCTTGCCAGGCTATCTCCGCTCTTCACGGCCTACGCGCCAAGCGATCGATAAGATATTATACACTTTGCAGTAGAATTTGATTATTTTTAAGGATTAATATCTCGTTAACTATTGGGAAACTATTGGGGAATTATTGGGAAAATTTACAAAATGGTAGAGGACTTTTCGATTCAATTTAGTCCACTCTACCTGCATGAAATATTTGGCGATTATTACTAGATACCTTTTTTTAATGTTAACAATATATATATATATATATATTGTTAACATAAAAAATTAAAAAAACGGAATAAATAATGAAGGATACTGAGCTGTTGGATCGATTTTATTTTAACATACTTAACGACATTCGCTTAAGATTGTAACATTTTCGAACATACTTGTTTACGTCACTATTTAACAATACATACTTAACTTATAATATCAGTCCATTTTAAAACGTCTGACAAGCAAGAGCTGTTTCATTTTACACAGTTATTGAGTTTTATTTTAATTCAATAGACTATTCTATATAAATTAATGTAAGTTTGAATATAATTTCTCATTATTATTCAATTAATTTATATTAATCATTTAATTATAAATTAACATTACACAGAATATATTAGGATAGTCGTTGAAGGAAATCTTGATCGGACCGTATATTTTTTATTAAATTAACGTTAACTGAACTGGATTCTCGATAACAATCGAGGATTAGTAAAACACACTTTTATAATTCGGATTTCAAACTTCTGACTATATATTTATTTCGATCTGTAACATCTAAAGGAAGATATATGTATGTAAGATTAGTCTAGGACGTCAATTTTTATTATTGTATTATTGTAAATTCATTGACTTTGTAAGAGGTTATTTAAAAATGTATTTCACTGAGGAAGACTTTGTAAGTCGAAACGTTTGAAAAACGTTATAGCATTGTACTTATTTAATAAAAAAACGATTTTTATTTTATGATAACTAATATATAATAATAATTGTTCGTTTAAAAAATCTTTGACTTATTAATTATATGTATAAAGTATTTTGTATCCACAAAATGGAAAAAATATAATAGCAGAAAATTGTCCTTCTTTGATAAAAGAAAAGTTATGAGTGCTTTCTAACAAGTGACTCATTCAGTACAACATAATGATCATCTTATCCTTGTATATTGCGAACAACAAGAATGTAACGATGTATTGTATCACACTGTGTTATGTGTTAAAATTCTATAAAACCAAAATGAGTTAAAAGTTACTGTCTGTTGTGCATTTCTTGTTAAAAGGCACTTTATAAACCTAAAATGGAAAAGATTAATATCTTTACGTCATTCATGAAAATGTTTTATAACATTTTTATTTATCATACAAATAATGTAGTAAAATCACAATCGTAAATTATGCTTTGCCTAATTATGATCTAATGTCAGAAGTGTTAATGGGCTGGCGAACTATAACAAAATACCACAGTTGTAAATCGTTTTAGCTAGTTATAGATAAAGGTATTTATTATGGGCTGATTATTTTTAATTTACTTTACTGCCAGAAGCATTTCGATTATCTGATGAAATACGATGCGGAACCAATTCCGTAGAATTTTGCGTCTGTAGTTAAAGAAATGTGAGTGGATGCATTGTAGAAACATTATGATAGAAAAATTGTGATTGCTTGATATGACTGAAATAAAAAAATGAATAATGAATACATCTGTCTGAAATTTTAACAGTAATCTTGTGAAAGATCAAACTTTTCTAAAATTGTAACAGTTTAATATTTGTGGGGTCATTTCAAGCCGAGAACTTTTCGAAGTTATATCCTCGTCTAATATATATAATAATATATCAATATCTATGTATTACCTTTTTATTTCTTTTTATTAGATAGAACAAAAAGAGTTATATGTATGTACATGTACAATGTCGTATTAATTTATTGATAATATTATACATTATGTCCTAAAATGTCATTAAACGTAAGAAAAAAGCACTAATACGTTTTTGTATTGATATAACTGTTAATTAAAAATCTGTACTTTATGTATATTACAGATTTTTAGTATTGGTGATATATATTGAAACGCGGCCTACATTGCATGTGTGCATAACTTTATTCCTAAAATCTGATTATCACACAAATGTAAGATTAACTTTAATCCCGGTTCATTTTTTTTCAATTCTAAAATCAGAAAATTTTTCAAAATTAAAATAAATCTTATATTTGTGGGATCGAGCCTAATATATGTTTTCGTCCCTGAACTGAGATGGTTATATAGGAAACGGAATAAAATGTCGACAATTAATCAAATTTCCTGCATGATCATATTAACTCAGAGATCTTATACATTGGAAATGAAAATCTATAAAATCGACCTCGATTAAGTTCGGCCGTCACTCCAACATTTCCTTAAACTATAACAAAAATTTTATTTTATTTTAATCTGTAGATACGGTCATTGACAATGCAAATTTTATTATAATAAAGGCACGTCTTCGCGACGTCTTATATAATAAAGTTTTTACTCTCAATAACAACATAGATAAAAATAAAATAAAATTCTTGTTATAGTTTAAGATTAACTGAATATATTCGTTTTCTATTTATACTGATTGGATGACCAGTTTCTGAGAAAAAAAGATAATAAAGGTAATAATTTTTCAAGTTTAGACATTTTTTTACCTCAAAAACTGATTGATTTAAACAAAAAAATTTCAGAAATAAAAAAATGTCCATTTTGATTTAATTAATCTTACAGAATTTTTTTGAAATTTTTCTGAGTTCAGATTTTTTTAAACAAAAAATTGTTTAACGATGACATAAAAAAAAATAAAATGTATATAGATCTTTTTCCGCAGAATAATATAAGAAATCAAATTAAATCGTTCAGCCTAGAACGTTGATTAGTCGGTTAGTGAATTGAAAACGAGGATCGCTCACCTTTATTAGCCTTGTTGTGCTTAAAAAGTGCGAATCAAAAACGATTAAAATGTAACATCTTATTTCTGCCACATTATTAAAAACTATTCCACTCTCCTTTGTATACATAATAGCTTTTTTGTGAAATGAATTTCTCCTCTATGTAGGAAGGCATGGGAAGCGAGTTTCACACCATCTTCCCTCTGCCAAGGGGCGTACGACTTCCACGTGAAGCTAGTTCCATCCCATCTCCCCTCTGTCTAGAGACGCACGATATTCTACATGGAGTTCCACCTTATCTCCCTCTCTATCAAGGAGTGTAACGATTTTTCATGCGGATGAATCTTCGCGTAAAAAGTCGTAGAACATATTTTAAAGTAGAAAATTTTGTTTTATGTAGAAAGGAACATCATTTTTTAAACTTTTTTGTTAATAATTTTTTAATAACGAGCGATGGCTAAAATATTTTGCAAGTCATTCAGGATCATAACTTTGACAACATATGTCAAAGACAAGGTCATCGGGGCGAGCTTCCTGTATCGGCATATTTACTAATTTAAATTTTAAATATGTATAATTATTTCTATATAATGGAAAACAACTTCTTCACAATTCGGCCAGATTATAAAAAACCAATCAGAGAGGTCAGATATACTGGATAGTTGATAGATATCCATTGCATCCCTAATAATAATTGATAAAGTTATAAATATACTATATATTCTGCTCTATATAGAATTATAGAATTATTTGTATGTATTATTCTATAAATATATGATATAATATTGTTATACATACATAAGTACATAGTTAGATATAAATTGCATTTAAAAATTAATCTTTTTTAAAATAGGACATCCAGGTTTATTAATAAAATTAAATTTTATATGCATACCTGAAAGCAATTTTGCCTGATGTAGCATACCATCATTTTGATTGTGACTTGAAGAACTGCACAACAAAGACAAACTGATTTTGCTAAGATCACGGGATCATCAAGGTATTCATAAATTGAACTTAGCAATGGAAGCAACAATAAGATATTGCTCAAGTAACACATGTACCACAAAATTTTGAATGAAATGATGTCAAATTTCGTTGCATTCGGTGGTGGTGGCCAAACACATGTTAAGGCCACACTAATTTTCGTAAAATTTATAACTTTAACTGGTGTTATCATTATAATAGTACAATTATTATACACATCGTCTTCATAGAAACATCGGATGTCTATTCTGTTATCAATTTTTCTTATATCTTTTACTATTATCTGTTTGTATAATCTTTTACTTAATGTGTATACGTGTTATGGAAGCGAAAGGAACAGTTTAATTCAATCAATCGCAAGGAATTAATAATGAACTACAAGTGGATTCATATAAACTTATTTTATTTTTCATTTGATGTTTATTATTCTTAATGACTATACTATATAGAAATTGAAATAAATGTCAATTTTCGATTTTTTAATTTAAATTTTTAAAATAAGATTTTACATTTCTATTTTTTATTTAATTTTCTAATTTTTAAACGTTCTAAATTTCTTAGTGACAAGAATATAAATACAGTTACATAAAAGTTGATTTTGATACATGCTATAATCAAATATAGAAGTTACGAAGTAAACGAACGACGAACTTATTATTAAATTAAATATCTCATTGTATATAATGATACCTTTGGTTAGCGTTACACCTATGTATGAAAATAATGATTGGTTCTACATCGAATTGATTAAAATAATAATAAGACAAAGGGGCGATGTCCGACTACTATAGAACATACTATGAACTTAGTTCATTTGTTAAACATTATGTACAGCGTTAACAGCTATAAATTGTGAGGAATACTAATATAATGTATATGTATGTACATATATATGTATATGTATTATGACGTGACAATTTTTGTCAGTCACTGTCGAAGATCGTCAGAGGAATAGCGCGTCTTTACGGCTCGGAGAGCGAGCGTGCATGCGAACGTGCGCTACTTACTTAATTGAATTTTTGAGAAAAAAACAACATGTTTTTGCTTAATTTCTTTTTCATTAAAGACTTAATTCTGTCAGCCTCACACTTAGACTTAGTATCGCCCTCAGTAGCTGCAATTTCATTCTATAACTGTGCCGTCTTATTCATTTGGGTGAAGGAAGACTGCAACGCCAACAAGAGAGAAGAAGTGACGCTACGCGGGGAGTCACCTATCCGGGAGCCCGACGCGCAAGTCGTATCATTTCATTTATATTTGTTTTATAATCCGTTGCCGCCTTGAATCTCTATTCTATATCGCATCTTACAAAGTGCAACGGAAGGAGAGAACTCCCGGCTACCGAAGAAACATTACAGACACTAGTCGGGGGCATATGTCTCCGACACAGCCAGTGGAAGAGCGGACATCCCGCATCAACCGAGAAATTTAGGGGCTTTAGGTGAAAAAGGAATCCCGGAAAAATTATATTGCGCGTTCTAAGACGCAAGGATTCGTGACTGAGTCGCAATATTGTAAGAGGATGTGCGAAGAGGACACTGGCGACGAGTATTCCGAGAATCGCTGCCGTATGAAGAGTTGACAAGGAGGATAGTGGAAGGATCTTATACCAAAACGTAAGATGAACATCGCCGTCATTGCTGTAAAGCTGCCGATCCATGTTCGTAGCTTTGAATCGCACGTGGAAAACTCGCGTGGCGATAAGCGGTTTAATAGCCGCCATCTAAATCCGTGAAATTGAGACTCACCTCTCTTGTCACAATCGAGTCATTTTAAGCTTTCATTTTATCTTGTATCGTTTGTGCCGTGTCGAAATGATTATTATGATCGTGCCGCGCTTTCGAGTTAACGAGCTAAACGTTTAGCTTCGTGTCGACGTTACTCTCCCGGGTGACGTGTATTCTTTAGAGTTTTTGCACGTTATCGAGAGATTTTGCGAGTAGTCATAATATTTCATTATTACTTGGTGTATGATTCTTGTAGCCTATCTCTCTCGCCCCCCGATAATTTTTCCACCTTCGACCCATCACTGTCCTCGCGGATTAATTGTGAGTAGAGTAGAAAAGATTATTGAAAAAGTGGCGTCCCTCTCTCGTGCCTAGTGCCCAACTTTAGCGAGAAGCTCTGATAGTCTGTGGAAAATCTATCTGACTGTCAAGATCTTCCATTTTTTTTGGAGCTAGAGTACTTTTAAGTAAGAGAAGATCTAAGAGCACGAGACCAAGTTGTGCCGTCGCTCGCGAGCATGGTTACAGTATATGCATATATACGTATATATGTAAATGTTCAATATATGTAATTAAAATGCTTTTGCTTTTATTGTAGTTCAAACGACCATACATATGATATATAAATTCACATGTAAATTATTTATCTAAAATCCAGCTTTGACTGTTTCTTTAGGCTCTTATTTGTTGTGTATTCACATAAAATCTTTCTTAATAAAATCGTTTATTATTGTTAATCTTGTTTATTTATGTCGTCTGAAATAGTAAGAACGTTCCTACATGTGCCAATTATTGCGAAGAATATTACTAAGATCTCGGTGGTGTAACGACTTACGACGCTCGCACGAAATGTGTTCGACTCCTAGTTGAGGTAATATTTTTTGCAATAAATTTATTTGCAGATTTTCATCATATTAACATCTCTCTAATAGGATTGCCTGATTGAGAATCAAATTATTAAGTTGCTTGAATTCTGAGGCACAGTGATTATATCTTTCTCATAATTGATTAAGATACATAATATCTGTTTTAGGAGTAGTGACTACTGTATTATTTCTATAGTTTGACACATAATTTATCATAATAGCTTAATCATTATTTTATAGAACTAGTGTTATACACATTGGTTAATCTGCCAACTGATCACTGTTATATCTGAACTTACTCTTGTAATTACTTACTCCATTGCGCTAACAAAATGATCCAAGATATATATTTCGTATTTTTGTATTTTAAACTGTGACAAATCGATTCTAATTTTATAATTTAAAGTATATAATTTATTTAATTAATTAATGTTCTTTCATTGAAAAGGATCGAAAATGTTGGTTGCAAACTTATTTGATGAGTAAATAAATAATTTTCAACAACCGCGTAGGCTCTTAATTAGCTTTTTTATCTCCCTTCAGTTGATTTATTCTCAAACCCCTATATATTTTTAAGTTATGTTGTTAAATTGCTTGTCAACTTAATTTGTCATATTGGTACAGTAGTTCAGTTGCGCTTCTAAATTCGAAAATGTATTGGGAGTACAAATAAATTTCCGCCGTTTTTTTATCAAAAATTAAGTATTTATTGTGAAAGAACGGTACATAATGTTTTATTCAAAGTAATGGCCACTACTTTTTCCCATCTTTCTGGTAGCATGTGGATCCTACGTCGCTTCATCTTTTGAGGCTATCCAATCATCAATTTTTGGTATCTTCATATGATGTGAAGTGCTGCTCAGACAGGCCATGCATCATCAATCGGAACAAGTGATAATCGGAAGGAGCAATGTCTGGAGAATACGGCGGGTGGAGAACTTCCCATTTGAGTGTTTCTAAGTAGTTTTTGACCGGCGCCGCAACATGTGGTCGAGCATTATCATGCAGGAGAATAATTTTGTCATGCCTGGAGTAATAGTGGGCGCGTTTTTCCTTGAGTGCTCGGCTCAATCTCATCAATTGTGTTCGGTAGAGAGCCCCAGTAATGGTTTCGTTCGGTTGAGCAACTTATAATACACGACACCAAGTTGATCCCACCAAATACACAACATGAGTTTTTTTCCATAAATATTCGACTTGGCTGTCGATGTTGAAGCATGGCCAGATGGTCCCCATGATTTCCTCTTCTTTGGGTTATCGTAGTGGATCCATTTTTCATCACTAGTGTCTATACGATGCAAAAAACCCTTTCGTTTATGCCTGGCAAGCAGCATTTCACATATGAAAAATCGGCGTTCAACGTTTCTCGGCTTCAGTTCATATGGAACCCAATTCCCTTTTGAATCATTCCCAATGATTTCAAACGATATGAAATTGTTTGTTGAGTCACCTCCTAATGTAAGTGCAAGTTCTTTTTGCATTTGGCACGAATCTTCATCCAATAATCCTTCCAATTCCGCGTACACTTTCGACCTTCCGCTACGTTCTTTGTCTTCGACGTCAAATTCACCGTTCTTAAACTTGAAACACTCACGACAACTTCTCTCACTTAAGGCAGCATCACCATATACTTCTACAAGCAATCTATGAGCCTCAGCTGCAGATTTTTCAAATTAAAGAAATAAATCAAAAGTTCCCGCAAATGACGCTTATTCGGCTCAAAACTCGACATTTTCGTACAAAAAAAAATATATGATGCTGATACAAAATCGCTAATATTTCAAGGTTATGGTGTTGCCGGATGTCCAATCTTACGATATGTCGTTTTACATCAAACAATTTTAACTATAGTTTATTATTTATTTTATTATTTATGGTGCCGTCTTTTGCAAACGGCGGAAACTTATTTGTACTCCCAATAATTCAGCGCACAGTTCAAATTGTTACATATGTGATATATAAATTTACAAGTAATTATTTAAGTAATTATTTCTAAAATTCAGCTTCGACCATTACAGGTTTTAGATTGTTATTTGTTGTTTATTCATAAAATCATTTATTTTTGTTGATATTCTTTTTTAATTCTATTGCATATTAATTCCCGAGCAGAAATTTTGATCAGGCTTTGATATACACATGATAAGCATGTCCTGGCGCCTGATCAAACGCTTATCAGGTACTTCAGTAAAATCGTAACCGTAAATGTAACATCAAGAATTAAGATTGTTTGATTAGGATTTTCCTTATCAGAACCTTATCAGAACAATACCTGATGATTCTTTATTAGGCTCCTTCCTTAACAGGAATATATTGGGTGTACAACTTTGCTTCCGCCGTTTTTTTTCCAAAATTCGAGGCTTGTAAAAAACTGGTTATACATTTATGATTCAAAGTATTGTCCAAAGTATTGTCACTGGTCACTACTTTCTCCCATCTTTCGGGTAGCGTACGAATCCCGCTTCGAAAAAACTGGTCATCTTTTGAGGCTATCCACGAATCGATCCAATTTTTTACTTCTTCATAAGATCGGAAGTGCTGGTCAGCCAGGCCGTGCCATTGATCGAAACAAGTGATAGTCAGAGGGAGGAGAC